CCATTAACTTTGCAACTGCTTGTTGTTGCTGAAGCTTTCACAGTGCTTTTCTTCCTTTGACATTGCAAGATCACAACTAACTCCTCAACCTTTGGGATTGCGGGAGGAAGAGGAGGAGAATAAAAACTTTAGGGGTGGTAAACAGGGGCACCTTGAGGCGTTTTTGAAGTCAGAGTGCCTGGAACCCAAGGCCAGTAAAGTGATTTTGACCCCTGAGTCATGACATTTCACAAGCGCTTCTCTTCCTGCCCGGTGGTAAGATGCTATAAAAGTATATTAAACAGTCAGCAATTTGCTCCTGTCCTGACACTCTGAAGTGGCTGCTTTTTGCCATACCCTCCCTCACAATTCCACAACTTCAGAAATTTATCCAGTTCCGGAAACAGATCCTCAGCAGCAGAAATATTGGTGGAAGATCCATTCCTCGATCCAGGCCCGCTTTTCAGAATGCTCTGAGTTCATCAGCATGGAATCCACCACAGGACTTAGACTCCATTGGCAGGATAAGCCGGATTTTGGGAGGGTGACCAGGTACCTTGTGCAAGCAATGAGAAACTTTAAAACTGCCTTTCTTTCCAAGAATTCTTAGGCTTCTGAACATGACAAGCAGTAATAGCTATAGAAGGAACTGGGAGAATGCTCCCTTCTCCCTTAAATTGTGAAAGGAAAATTGATGTTTATTTTATAGCAGCCTTTCCAATCTGGATCTCACTGGTTGGATGGTACCTTTGGCAGTTGTACCCTCCAGGGGTTACCAGGTTGGAGAAGGCTGCCCTTATAGCAACAGAAGTGTCAAAAGGGTTTCAATGGGTGACTGGGGAACATGGGAGATGTAGTCCAAACCCTTCTGGGGGGGTTGCCAGATTGGGCAAGGCTGCTGTTACAGCAACAGAAGAGGCCCAAAGGGTTTCAACAGGGATGCCAGACCTACAGCAGAGGTTTTTGTTTCTGCCAGAGGAGGCAGAACTCAGCCATGCAACCTTGAAACTTCATTTAAGTGCTTGTCTGATTAAGATGAACAGATTGGAAGCACTCTTTGTCGTTAACCGGCTCCCTTCTTGGCTGGTTGCTAGCTCTGATGCGCTGATAGACTAAGAAACCAAACCCGAAGCAGCTGCGGGCACTGCCACATTCTCCAGAGAGGAAGCGATTGTTCTCTCTCTCTCTCTCTCTCTCTCTCTCTCTCTCTCTCTCTCTCTCTCTGGTAGCACCACCAACCATCCATGTTCCTTACAGGGCAGTCTGTGATGTAAAATGAGCCTTAATTCTCTGTTGTCCTTCCACCTGCACATTTGTATTCAGGCAGGACTTTGGCTGGTAACCTGGTCTGTCGCTGAAGGAGATTTTAATAGCCCGGTGCCATTTATTTTATCGATTGTTATGGTTCTTATGTTACCCTTTGAGATGCTGTATTCTAGCTGGCTTTTAGCCACCTAGAGTCATTTTTAGGACAAAGAGGTAGGAAATAAATTAAATAATTAAAGAGACAATCCAATGCAATTTCAGGTAGAAAAAAGGCCCACAAGTCCCAGCTTGTCTCTGGGAGTTGTAGGCATTTTTCCCTGCCTGAGCTTGCTTAGAATTGCCCCTGTAATAAATCAACCTTCCTTGAGTGTGAGAAATTGATACTGTGGTTGTTATGCTGAGTTGTTTTCATGTTCCTTGCTTGCCCCCAAATAGTCTGATTCTCTTATAAAGTAAACCTAACTCCTGTTTTTGAGAAAAGTCGAGGAGTGTATTGTACCTAAACAGAACCAACCTGGTTCCACAAAGTTTGAACCTGTTCTCCCCTCTGAAATATTTATTCCCTTCCCTGCAAACCTGCTACCCCCTTCCATCTTTTTCAACTCCTTCCCCTGACACAATTTCCCCTCCCCTTGCTTTCTCTCTCATTGCCCCACTAATCACGCAAACCCAAGCCAAAACAAACATTACTTTAAATATGTGTTGGATAGCTGTGCCTTTTCCCTTTTTCTCTTACCCAAGAGTGGGTGCAGAGAGGGATAATTGGAATCTTAAAATAGCCCCTCTCAAACCAGGGGCCCAATATGGACTGGGGTCCCTGCATCTACCTCTAAAGTAAAAATAGAGGGGACCAGAAAGACACCTCTTTTAAGTAAGGTCTGTTTCTGTCTTCCCGCCCCTGCCTGTAGCACCATCAATGTATAATGATTGATTGAATCACAGGATCATACAAGGAGCCTATAATCTAAGCTTTGATGCAGGGGAGTGTTGGGAAAATTTGGATAAATCCTGTCAGAAAAACATTACTTCTGTGTGCCTTTGCATTGTGGGATCAAATCCTGTCTTCCTTCTCAAAACCAAGCTAAGTCACTGTTTAAAATGGCATCCCCCGCTCCTTTCTCTCACCTTTAGCTGTGGGCTACAGTAGACAGGCCATTCAGTCCAAATATACATTGTAGATAGTCATTGTTGGAATTCAGTTTACAATAATCTTTTGATAGCCCAGAGGGCTTCATGTGCCCTGATCATGCAGAATGTTTAGAGTCGAATTGAGATTCCAGGATTCTGACAGGAGACAACAGAGGAAGGGCAAAAGATAGGAAAGCACACTTAGAGTGCCCATGCATATCATTCTATGCTATGTTATGTGTAATACAAAAAGATGTGCTATGACATTCATTGTTCTGAGCCTAAAATGATTCAGCAAAGCTAACTACTGGGAAAGTAACTGTGTGGTTGCCCATCTCATTCTTTGCTAATCTGTTTATAGCAACAGCTAATGAAATGACACATCCTTAACATTTCCTATGTATGCTTAATCAGAAGTAAGTCCCAAAGACGTCAATGGGACTTATTTCCAAGTAACTATTTCTAGAGGACTCTTCAGTGCAAGAAAGCTCAGACCATAATCAGTATGTTATTTAATTTATTTAAGGTACAGTCCTCTGCCTGTTTAGACAGACGGGATGCATTCACACACCACCACCAGCAATGCCCTGTAGTTACCATAGTTTGTGCTTTTTTATCATGATCTACCTAATGGACTATCAAGTGGTTTCTACTTTATTGTGGTTTTTACTCTCCCTGCTCAGTCCTCCCACTATTGTCATGTATCCCATCAGCCACTGTGCCTGAAATTCACTCTCTGCCTACTAAACCTCCTCTTTTTCATTGGCCCACACAGAGCTAGATGACTAGAGCAGCTTCTGCACTTGCCACTCATTCCACAGGACTCTGTGATAATTGCATACCAGGCCTGTAGAAATCATGATACAACAAGCCATGATTGTACAGAAAAATCATAGAACAAACCATTGTTTCTTATCATGGCTTCTAAAGATCAAACTTAACATTGTGATATACCACAACTGTGCTCAGACAACAGGACAGACTAACAGTGTTAAGAAAGCAGCATAGCTTGTCATCTTGTCTGAACCCAGCCTATGATCTGGCTGGGGCATGCAGGGTTGTAGGCCTTTTTTCCACCTAAACCTTCATAGGATTGTACCCCATTTAATCAATTTATCTACCACTTACCATATCAAAAACTATCTCTAAGCTTTTTACTTCAGAATTAGTCGTTAAGGTACCACAACACTGTTGTTTTTCCACACGCAATGATATACTGAGTGTGGCTTTCTTTGCCTATTTGCCTAGGAAAACATTTTTTCTATTTCCTGTGGAAAGCAAAAAAAGTTCCTATATCATACTAGTAGAAGGAGGCCTGTAAATTGGACAAACCAAGTAATCTGAATGAACTTAAACCCACAGATAAAATGTTGGGTATTTCATGTTACATTAAAAATGTACTGTGTACTGTAGTATACACAGTATTATTATTTTTAACCTTCAAATAAATGGTGTTTGACTTGAGACTTGAAATGTCTAGATGCTTGCAGCATTTTTTTAATGAAGGCTTGAAAAACCCAACACTCTCCATTAAAAAGGGTGGAGTTCATTTCTTTGGCTGTGAGAGGACAGAGGTTTAGGATTCTCCAAGTAAAAATCAGAGGATTTGTCCCCAAGATCCAGGCTTCTTGTGCAGTGGAAGATCCAAAAATTAACATAGTGCTGTCTATTTATGAGCACTGGTTTGAGGCCTGATGGGGAATTTGGGATCTTTCTCCTTGTAAACAGGAACAAAAATGAGTACCCCAGTTTTAGATCCGGACTTTTTAGAGCCCCTTGGACTGCAAGGTGATCAAACCAGTCAGTCCTAGAGGAGATCAACCCTGACTGCTCTTTAGAAGGCCAGGTACTGAAGATGAAACTCAAATACTTTGGCCACCTAATGAGAAGGAAGGACTCACTGGAGAAGAGCCTAATGCTGGGAACAATTGACGGGAAAAGAAGAAGAGGACGGCAGAGGATGAGGTGGCTAGATGGAGTCACTGAAGCAGTTGGTGTGAGCTTGAGTGGACTCTGGGGATGGTGGAGGACAAGAAGGCCTGGAGGAATGTTGTTCATGGGGTCGCAATGGGTCGGACATGACTTCATGATTAACAACAACTCCACAACATACAGAAGCCACTATCTGTAGGCATGGATCTGAACAGTAGTTTGATGCTGGATGTGAGGTTTTTTCCTCTCCAAATAAAAACTGTAAGGAACCATGAGGAATGGCTCCTTGAATATGCAGTTGCTTGGTTTGGGTGCCTCAGAATGTTTGATCTTTATGGCGCTGGTTTTTTGGGCTAGAAAAGAGATTTGTTTGTTTGTTTGTTTGTTTATTACAGTGGAGATCCACAGTTCTGGGATGTTACCATGGTATGCTTGCAAAATTCCTGTGAATTTACAGGAGCCCGATTATTTCATTAAGTTTCTGGGTGTGAAGAGCGCAGGAAACGCGCGTCAGGAAAACTCCAAAACCACCTTAAGAAACCGTTCTACCTTAAAAAAAAAAAAAAACCCATATAAACGCTCTCAACCTCCTGGGGGAGGTTGGCTGGAAACTACAAGGCCTGTGGGTGGAACTCTGGAATATATTAATTTTTAATACATAACTCCGCCTACATTTCTTTCCCCTCCCATGGGCAGCCAATGAGAAACAAAAGAAGAGACTGGGGAGGCTTCGGGTGGATGGGTGAAGTTTGGAAAGTTCGCGTGAGTCAAAAGAATCGGAGGGTGGTACGTGCCTGTTGCGCTGTGGTAAACGAAGCAGCAAGAGAAGAGTCGTCTGTTGAAAAGCAGGGTAAGCCATTCCCCGCTGATGAACATCGAGAAGTGTTAGGGAAGCGGGTTGGAGGGTAAGCGGAGGGGTCTGAGAATGAATGGGATATTTGCATGACATATTTGGGGAAGGGAGTTGGAGATGTAGGGCGGGAAGTGTTGGCTTTCACCCCAAGTACACGACCCCAAGTATCCCCCTGTTGATTAAAAGAGCGTGCTTGTGCTGAAATGAATCTATGGGACATAGAATTAGTGGGTAGAGTTCGCTGAATGTTTGCTATACTTAATCTGTTCTTAATCTTTTTTTGATATCCGTGATCACTGCTCGGAAAGTTTCTAAATGAAGAGTCGTCCAAGTATGAGAACTCTGCCTGCCTGCGTGCGGGGGGTGCTTATGGGGCAGGTAGCTGAGAGGGGACTGTGGGGTGTTGAGCTTAGAGACGGCCATGTTGGATTGGCTGAGAAGAGAGGGGGCTCTGCCGACCGGGCTTCGACGTGGGGTGCTAGCTCAGAGGGGTTTGTTGCAAGGTTGCACTCTCTTGACCTGAGAGGGTTTAGGTGGGGTGACATGAAGGAGAGCCTGCGGTGTTCGGAGTGGCGTGCTGGCTTTGTAAAATATGCTGTGGGAAAGGAGCTGAGGGACATCTGTCCCCTTGGATGCCAGTATGCGAGCACCAGGAATTGGGAGGATGGGGTACAGGGATGGGAAGGTGCTGCTGTATTCGTGTCCTGCTTGGATTTGCTGTTGGGCATCTGCTCGGCCACCGTGTGGACAGAATGCTGCACTGGATGGACCCTGGGGCTGATCCAGCAGGACTTTTCCTGTCCTCTTATTTGGATCCTGTCTCTGTTGGTGTGTGTGTGAGAGACAGAGAGATTTTGTTCATGGTTCAGTCAGTCCAACACAAATGGGTCCTTGTCAAACTGCACTTGTGACAAAGCAATTACCGTGTCCCGTGAGACACCCTTGTAACTGAAAGTTGGCTTGCCTTCTTGGTGCAAGAGGCCAAGTATCATTGTGAATATGCATGTACCAGAGCATGCTTGCGCACACAATCTGAGAAGCTCTTGTGCAACCTCAGAAGTTCTCATGAGTTTAAATGTGTCATGGGGGGGGGGTTACATAAGTGGTACCGATTGCACATGTTTTTGTATGCGTAATGATGAGCGTACTTGAAACTTCTTGCCTGAAATAGAGTGTGAGTGAGCAAAATCACTAAAGAATTATATGGTTGAATCAGGATATAAGTACAGCTGAATTTTTACATTAGAAAGTGCATGTTGAATTATGCAAAAATGTTTGTGCCAAAAAAAGTGCCCTTGCCACTTCCCCTTTGCTTCACCACATTAGACAGTATAAGCTGTCTTAACAGCAGGGCTTGGTGCTGAAGCCTCTTTCCGGTGTCATAAATACCTGACATAAAACGAGAGTGCCTTTGGCCTAGAGCAGGGGTCTCAAACTCAACTTACCTGGAGGCTGCTGGAAGTAGAGTCTGGGTGAGGCTGGGCCGCATCAAGTATTCCACCACTGCGGTGGTGGTGGGCCGCTCATCCCGCGTGGCTCCCGGAGGCCGGCCCAGGTGCCGCCGGCGCTTTGAAAGCCGCAGGGCCCCTTCCCCGTGCCCTGCCCGTCCCGGCGTGCGGCTTAGAGGGAACATTGCGCCCAGGCTAACGACTCACGCAGGTGCGTGTGAGAAAAACACGTGGGCCGCACTATCACTGAACTTTGATATCAAGTGGGGGCCACGAAATATCGTCCCACGGGCCGCAATTGGCCCGCGGGCCGCGAGTTTGAGACCCCTGACCTAGAGTGTATTTTCTTCCATCACCAGTAGCAGTGGCTTATCCAGCTACAGGAACATGAACATGAAAAACCTGTGTTAGATCCGGCCAAAAATCTATCAAGAAAAGTCTTCCCTTTCCCAACCTGAGAGTGGATGATGGGAGCTGTAGGCCACCACACCTGGATTGCACCAGGTTTGGGAAAGCAAACCTGTCTCAACACTCTATTTTCTACAGCAAGGTAGACAGAAAGTAAATCTTCAGATGTTTTGGACTCCAGCTCCCAGTATTTGGGAGTCAGCACGCTGAACAAATAGAGATATAACTTCTGTCCACCGGGACCTCACCCCCACCCCCCCATCCCACACACACACACACACAAAGGCCATTGGGAACCTCTCACACAAGAGAGCACCCTCTCCTGCTGTTTATTTATTTATTTAAAACTTTTGCATGCCGCCCCTTATGCATGGCATCCCGGGGCAGCTTACAATCACATGTTGTTTCTCCCCAGCATATGCAGCAGCGGCATAAATGGGACTTGCAACAAAATGTTGCAGCGCGGAGAGCTGCTGTCCCAGATTACAGCCACAATTACAGCCCATTTGCCGAATACTCCGTTCTGCCCTGCTGCCTTGCCCCTGTGGTTTCCCACCTGTGGCTACTGACATTGCTCAGTTCCTCCAGAGAGGCCTCCCTTCCCCTTTGCAGTTTTTATGTAAATATGGCACTTTGGTATCTGTTGGCTTCTACCCAATCTGCTCATGCCTTGATCATACCTGAATGGTGCATCCATAGAGCTCCACATTTGGGGGATGAGTTTGGGAGACAGCAGTGCCGGATGTGGAGTGTCCCCGTTGCCACCATTGTTGAGAGGTAGCTTCTTAGGTCTGTGTGGATAGTGTCAAACCCATGGAATGCCTTACTTTGGAAATTAAGCAGTGCCTTGCTGGGATGTTCCTGGTTCCTGCCTTTCAAAAGACATCCATTCATTCCTTTGCCTTCTGTGCCTCCCAGTAGGCAGAGCTCTTTGGGCTGTTCACAAAAATTAAAACCCCACAGACGGCATGATAAAAACAATATAGAATCTATACTACATAGAAATTTAGAACAACTGTGTGGATATTCCATCGGGTCCCCCTCCTTGTGTTTTTATGGGTTTTATGTGGTAAAGGAAAAAAAGGAAGAAATTGGAGGTGAGGGGGAAGTTGTGAGAGAATGAATGAAAGAACAACCTGATAAAAAGCCTTTACTGGAAGCACCCTGAAAGCAGAACTGTCCTTGGACTAACTCCAGCTTGCTGTTGGCCAAGATTTTTTTAAATTTCATCCTCAGACAGCTTGCTCCTATTGGACTCCATTGGTCTGGCGTTTTAACTGGAACTGTAGAGGCTTGGAAACAACAGGCATTGCAGCTTCCAGACCTTGGCTCATGCAGCCAGGTTAAGGAACATGATTTTGGAGTGTGTGTCTGAGTGCGTGTGTCTGCTAAATGGGCTCCGTAGCGGTTCCACCCGCCGCAGTTCCTTCTCATCCACCTTCTCATCCCTGCTACTCCTTCCATGCTTCCCAGGGAGAGGAGAGCTCTTCCTTCCCACCACCACTGTTGTCTGGGCCAGGATGGAAGGCAGGTGTACAGGCAGCGGGCAGTGATGGCAAGGAAAAGCGAGTCCAGCTTGGTGGTGGCCCCTGCAAGGATGTGGCCCTTTGACAGACGCCCAGGTGTGCCTACCCTTGATGCCAGTCCTGTGTGTGTGTGTGTGTGTGTGTGTGGAGTGGGCTCACTGACTGACCAGAAACCAAGCGCAACAGCTTGAGGTATCTTCATGCATCGTGCAGCGATGTGCAGACGAGGCTTCCCACAGCATGGAAATGCACTTCGTTCATTCAGAGACTGCATTTTTATCCTGTTCTTCAGCCAAACCTTCCAAAGGACAATCCTTGTCTGCTGGCTTAAAATCCGCGAGGCATGACACAAAGGGGACGGGGATTGAGGAGGAAGAGGCAAAGTAGCAAATCCGGCTCTACATTCTTCATTGCCATGTTTAACAATTTCACATTATGGCCTACTAGCTTTGCATGTTGAGCTGCTTTTGTAGGCACAGAAGCAATAGCCAGTTTAGGTGCTGACATCCCAAGAGAAGGCCTGAAAGGATGGGTGGGGGCCTGTTATCACTCGGAACCAGCTGTTGTTGTTGCTGTTATCAGCTCCTTGGATAGGAGCTCTTGAGCAGCCAGAGAAAGGAAGATGGGAAACAAACCCTCCTTGTTCATTTCTTGCTGTTTCTTCTCCTCAACCTGCAAGTTCTGGAACAGAAGATGGAAGCCACTGCTTCCCTAGCAACCAACTGGGCAGCTATTGTGACCTGGCCCTGCAGGTTCCTGGGTTACAATAGAAGTCTAGGCTTTGTATTTGTAGAAGGCCTTTTTACAAAAAATCCCTCAAGGGATGGGGTCAAGATAACATGCATGGCTGTGGAATGAGTCTGAGAGGGGAATGGAGCCAAGCTACACCACGCTGAACTGGTATTTTGTCTCTCTTTTTCCTACCCTCAGGAAGGAACCATGTCCCGGAAAGGATGCCTGAGTGTCACGAAGTATTTCCTCTTCATTTTCAACCTCCTCTTCTTTGTAAGTAGCAGGGTGCAGGCAGAGTTTAGGCCAGCCCAGCTGAATTGGCCCACTTGGCAGTGGGTGGGAAACAGTTAAAGAAAGAGCAGAGTAGCATTTGCTAATGTAGACATATAACCCCCGTTTTTATTCTCTTCTCTCCTCCACACCTCTTTTCTCCAGATCCTTGGCAGTCTTCTCTTCAGTTTTGGCTTATGGATACTTTTTGACCGAAATAGTTTTGCTTCAGTCCTTGGTAAGTCGGGGGAGTTCCCAATTCCATGCTCTTTCCTCTTCCCTTCCCTTTTCTGGATGACTGATGGCCTTCTGTGCCAAGTGGCTGTTAAGCCAGGATTGCTTCCCCCGAAATCCTTTGTATGAAAAAGAACAGGAAAATCAGGTTCCTGGAGAAGTGGACTCTTGAAATCTTCTCCACAGCATCCTTGCTCTCTTGAGTTCTCTGTCAAACTGGACTCTGGAGTGACTTACCTGTTTCTCCTTCCCACAGGGTCATCGTATTATGCCCTAAAGGTCTGGTCCTATATTTTCTGTGGAGTTGGTATCCTCACAATGCTGATGGGATTCCTGGGATGCCTGGGTTCCCTCAAGGAAGTCAAGTGTATGCTTGGATTTGTAAGTTGTCTCTTCTGAAGTTCTCTAGAAGAAGCAAAGTGAGGGTTGGAGTGGGGAATGGTGGCAAATGGTTTCGGTGGAAGCAGGGCCTGTGAGAAGGGAAATTAAGAGTGGGGGGGGGGTCAGTGAAAAAAGCAAATTCCATCCCATGTATTATTAGAAAAGGGATTGACAATTATACTCTATCAATCTGTGGTGCATGTACCCTTCTGGTTGTCCCATCTCAAAAAAGATCTTGCAGAGCTGGAAAAGTCCCAATAAGCAGCAAAGCAAAAAGATTGCATTGTTGGTGTGGTTGGACTCCCTTTCCGGTGGGGAAAGGCAATCCTAGACAGCATGCGGGTTGTATTGCCCCACCGGGGCCTCTCTCTGCTCCTTGCCGCCACCATTTTCACTAATGAAATTCTGCAGTGCAGTGGAAGCCAAAAGCAAGCAAGCAAGCAAGCAAACAGCATTTTTGCTAGAAAAGGTGCGTGGAGATGCGTGGGAAGCAAAGGGTGCTCCCAGGAGGTGACAAGTTCAACGGCAGTGGAGGAGACAGGAGCTCATGAGAAGGAAGCTGCACGTGGCCCAAAGACCACATGTCACCACTCTAAGCTGTCCAGAGACCCTGGTATTGGACGGCGTGGAAAAACCTCAAACGAACAAACAAACATTTACCAATTGGTCCAGGGTGGGGACTGTGAGAGGATATGGCCCATAAAAACAGCAGGCTCCCTGCCAGTGTCCCTGGAAGCCATCAAAGCCTCCCCCACCCAGTAATGCGGTGCCAGTGAGGACTCCCCCCTTCCATCATGTAGCCTGAAGTGCCTGATCCTGCCTAATCTTGGAAGCTAAGCAGGGTCAGGCCTGGGCAGAAATGGGATGGGTGACTTGAGTGTATGATTCTATGATTATTGCTGTCAACTGCCTAGAGAGCTTTGGCTATGGGCAGTATAAAATGTAATCATAATAATAATAAAAAATAATCCATGCATGGGGAGAGCCGGTGTGACCTCACAGTGATGGGGATGCCCCCTCCCCCTGGCAGTGCTAGATGCTTGTTCACGACACAGGCAGCATTTGTAAAATTGCTGCACAGCCCCCCCCAAACCATCAGTTCCAGTGGCACAGCCAGTAATGACCGGTGGTACTCCCAGTCCAAGCAAGCCATCCCTCCAGGCAAGGTTCAGATCCCCCTTTGTTCCTCACAAGCACTGCTTTGGAGCACAACACATGGAAAAGAAGGAAAGAGAAGCCACGGAACAGGGTAGTTTTCCCGGAAGTTTTTCATGCAACAAGCGTGCTTGCCCATATCTGCAATTTGCAATAATACTGTCCTAGAAGATACACCCTTATTTAGGATATGTCTTCATTTATTTCTATTATACACACACAATACACATAAAAATTACACACAAAAATTACACTAAGCTGTGTCCTGAAACAAAAGCAGGGCAATTGTTTCTTAGGATCAACTGAACAATCACGAAGTAGTGAAAAACCTTTTAAGTTCTCTTAAATGCTTCCTTAAAATGGGTGCTAAGTGAAAAATGGGGGGTGGGGGGAGAGTTGGAGGAGGTGATCAGGGTGAAGAAGCCCCAAAGTCAGCCGTTTGTAGAAACCTGGACAATTTCATTCAACAGGTAACTTCTGAGTAAATACCTTGGGATCTCACTGTTAAGATTGTAATAAGCTACAGCCATTCTCCTTATCTGCTCCCCCCTGCCTTTATTTTCATTTCCAAGAAGATTTTGTAGCGGAAGTGCTTTGAAAAACAACTCCATCTAACCATACCTGCAGTCTGTAATGTCCTAGGAGATAGGCCATTAAATTCAAAGGCGGTTACTGTAAGTGTAAAATTGCAGCTACAAACTGGAATGCAGATAATGTTAAGAATCCTACCAGCCCAAAGCCATGCATGTATACTCGGAAATAAGTCCCAGTGTGTTAAATGGGGTTCATTCCAGTGTTCAAAGGGTTGCAACTTCAGTTGCACCAAGGTCTACTGAATAAATAGCTTTATCTGCTGTCCTCCTGCTCTGTTTTGTTTTGCTTTGTGATGGGGAGGAGAGGAGGTTTGCCTTAACATTTCAGCCTGCAGGAGATTTCCAGAGAGATGAAAACTGGCTCACTAGTCTGAGCCATTTTAAATGGTCTTATTCCAGATCTTGCTGTACTGTTCATTACAATGTATATATTGTACTTCATGTCGTTAGACTAAGCATATCTGATTCATTGCTTGTGTCAACTGACTTCCCTCTGCAAGCTCTTGCCATGTCCCTTGGAGAAAGGGACTTGGCCAGCTCTTGCAAAATCTAGTTCCTAAAAGCATCAATAGAAGGCCCCTTTGCACAGAGGAAATAAAAGAGGAAGTGGGTATGGTATGGCTGCGTGATGTCATGAGAGGGATTTGGGGTGAGCTCTTGCTCCTTTGATGCCCCCCCCAAAAGCAAGGAGAGGTGACCTATCCTGAAATTTGAGTGCACCCCTTGCAAAACAGGTATTATGTCATTGTGTCACCTGCAGACTAGGACTTACAGCTTTTGTAATGCTGTTCTCAATTCTCCTTGGAAGCCTTTTTAGGAAGGATATTAGTGAAAATGGGGGAAAAATTGCCTGGTTTGCCTGTTAAAAAAAAAAAGGCAGAACCCTGGTCCTGGCTGAGTTTTACTGACCTCTCCCGTTTTCTTTGCCAACAGTACTTTGCCTTCCTGTTGCTTCTCTTTCTTGCTCAAATCACCATCGGGATCCTCATATATACTCAGCAGAAAACGGTGAGTGCTGTCACCAAATTCAGGGGGAAGGCCGGCAGCCGGTTTCTGTTGGGCTCATGGGAGGCTCACAGTGGTGCTGTCCCAAGGATCTTCTCTCCACCCTCACCAAATAGACAAGTGTGGTCCCCTCTCCCCCTCACCCCACCTTGTTTTTACATCCTCCGTTCCTAGTTTCTGGTCAGGCTTACACACTCAGTCCTGTAGGCTCCATGTGCAGGCAGGGTATGACCTGTTCTGCTCCCTTCCACCCCCTTCCCTTCCACCTGAAGACAATAGGAGATGTTTTCACCTGGCCAGTGTCACTGGGGCTGTGTATCCACTCCAGAATTCACCCGGAGCTGTCCATGGTACTGAACCTGTTTTCTCCCTCACCCTATGGATAGCTGTGGGGTAACGTTGGATGCACTGCCCCAGCAATGGCAGAGCCACCAGCTTGCCTGAAAGTCAAGAACTGACTTACACTTTAAGGAGAATGATTCTAAGCCATCGCGCTTCCTGTATGCTATTTTTTCACTTAGAGAGTTTCGTTTGACAAAGGGGAATTCTTTTTTCTTTTCTTTGTTGTGATTCTGTACCACCAGGTGCACAGTTTTACTACCTCCTTCTTTTGCATATGTAGGCCCAGCCCCACCTGTCTGCCTAAGTCAAAGAATGACCAGGATTCTTGAAGAAGGAAAGTTTGTTCTGCCCCAGCGATCTCTGTTTTCTTTTCTGAGTAGTCCCTTTCTAGCAGAGACTTCCCCCATCTGGGGCATACCCTTCTTGGGGAGATCCACCTGGCATCTTTTATAAAAATAAAAGATCTTTTATCTTTTAAAAATAAAAGATGCCAGGTGGATCTCCCCAAGAAGGGTATGCCCCAGATGGGGAACACACACACACACACACACACACACACACACAGAGCTGTCAGGTTAAGAACCTGCTCCTCTGGAAGCCATTTCGCCTTTAATCTGTTGCCCTGATGATTACCTTCACTGCTGGCTCTCCCCCACCCCGCCTCCATATTTAAGGTGCAAATGCAAATTTAGACATTAAAATTCTCCACTATGGCATGCTGGGAGTTGTAGGACTTTTTTCTATGGAAACTTGTTTAGGATTGCACCTTTAATTTGTAAATTTTCATTGTGGATCTCTTGTTTTGGTTGATTATTTTATTCTGCTGATTTCGTTATCATTGTAAGGGGTCCCAAAGGCTTCTGCCTGCTGGGTAGTACATAAATTGAAAAACCAAATGCGACTTTAAAGAATGAATTAAACTAAACTAAAATAGTGGTGCTGAGAGTGGGGAGTGTGGGCAGGCAGGACATCTGGGCTTTTCTGTGGGGTTTCTCTGCTGGAAGCCAAACCTACTTTTCTCCCATCCTTGGTCCTGAGGTTCAGCTCCCAAAACAGATTGTCTGCATTTCGCCCAGGCTCCAGCCAGGCCTTTGGCTTAAAAAGAATCCTTTCTGAGGCACCCAGCGTGCTTAGGCAATGAACTATTTATTTGCACTTTTAAAGGGTGAACAATTATAACAATTAAGGGCTCAACCCAGTGCAAGTTCAAACAGAAAAAAGTACTGCAGTTCTCACTTGGCTGGCTGGCTGGGGAACACTGGATGCCTGAGGACCTTTTTCTGTCTCAGCATGTATAGGGTTGCGCCCTTGGTCTTAAATTACCCCGGGGGTAGGAGGAGCGGTTGGAAGGTGGCTGCATGGGGCAGTATCCACCTCCTTCCTGGGAAGGCAGGGAGAGGCACAGTGTTGTGACGGTGGTAACTGGCACTGGGTTCAGTTCCCTGCTCCTGGAAACGGGGGAACCGGTTTCTTCCAAGTTCAGTTGGGAAGTCTGTGGGATGACAGTAAATCCAGCGCAGGCTCACCGCTGAAGACAGCTACATCCTATCTTCACCCAGCGCTTGGGATTGTTCTAAGGAACCAGTGGAAACTTGGTACCTGGGGCTGGATCCTGATTTTGTCATACTGTAGATCAGTTGAACTCCATGGAGCTGTTGTTCGTCATGGTTGCGTTGCATCGTATTGATTTCAGTGGGTCTGCTCTGAGTATGACTGGATCTGGAGGGAAACCTTGGATCTTTACAGCCTGTCTTACAGGGGCCGTGGCTTCCATTGCCTAAACATGGACTGGGTGCAAGTAGCATTCATAGTCTTTGGCCAGTCTGTCTGCATTTTTGGTCATGTCGGGCCAGGAGGACGCGGCGCAAAGTTGGTTTATTCCTCCTGCCTTTGCTACTCCTGGCAGGGCTGACAGTAACCCTTCTTTTACCTACACAGCTCAGCACAGTGGTTACTGACTACGCGAATGACATAATTGAAAATTATGGGAGAAAGAGTCCACTCTCAGATCATGAAGAAAGCTGGGATTTTCTGCAAGAACAGGTAAGATCTTTGCATTGATGAGACGTTCATCCCAGGTACCTCGACCACATTGTTAACTCCTGCTAACTTTGGTGTTGGCTGTGGGGTGGTACAAAAATACAATGAACGGCAACAGCACCACCACCACCAAGTGTGGCCTTGTTCATGGATGACTCTCTTTAAACCAGGACAGCAGAATCTTGGACCCATGGACCAAATCTGGCATGCCTGGGGGCCTAATCCAGCCTTCAGGGGCTTCTCAAATGGCCTCAATGCTCCCATTTTCCTGGCCACTGATAATTTGGTGGTCTCCCCCTTTTTGCACATTTTGCACTGCATTTTACTCACCGCTGGAATGCATTGCTCAAATTTTCTCCAAAAATGGAATTTGGCGTTTAGGCTGAAAGAGGTTCAACAATTGTTTCTCCTCCTCCTCCTCCTCCTCCTCCTCCTCCTGTCCTGCCTTTCTCTATTGTTGTGACTCAGGAATGAAAGGTGGGGTGGGGTGGGGTAGTCCAAGGGCTGAATTCCAATCTAGGAACAGTCTCAGGAGCTGCATTCCTTCTCTGGGTGTGGTGAAAGGAAAAGTGGGCAGGGCCAAAAGTGATTTTTTTTTGGTACTAATTACTCAGAAGTAAGCAGGGCAAGGCTCAGAAGGAAGCAGAACTGAATCATTCAATGTCTTTCCCAGGCCCTGGCTGTTCTCCTCAGCAGGGAAAAACTGATCAGGTATCAGAGCTCCCCTTTGCTGGGAGAGGTAGCAGGACCTGGGGAGGAAGCTGGCAGGCCAGATGGGAAACCACGATGGCCCATGTTTGACCCTTGTGCTGGACATTCTCTTTGCCTGATACAGGAATCCCTACGGGGTTTCCTATCCAAGCTCTGAGCAGCCCAACGCCAGTGTATCTTCAGCAGGGTAGCTCTTCCTCTGGCTCCCAAGCCTTTCGTCCTCCTTGTTGCCTTCAGCTCGGCACCTTGTTTTGTTCTAGCTCCAGTGCTGCGGATGGTCCTCCTACATGGACTGGAATGTCAACCAGGCAGTCCGCAATGCCTCCGAAAAGCTGTATCCCTGCTCCTGCCGTAACATCTCTCAGGCCATCCATCCAGAGACCAATCAGACTGCGGGCTCTGAGAATGGCTTCTGCAGAGCTGCAGGAGAATGGCCAGTCAACAAAGATGTGAGTAGTCTATGCCCTGCTTAGAGCCGAAAGGGGAGCTCACAGACACGCTGCACTGAGCATTCTAACCTTGTCATTAGGAGCATCCGGGAGGCCCTGGCCCAAAACCTGTTGCCTAGGGCTTGGGATCCAGAGTCCTGAATGTTCCTTCATGGCATTCAAAGCCAGAAAGGTACTTGGCATAGCTTTTTCATCATGCAGGGGACATCATGCAGGATCACCGACACCAATTCAAGGTGTTGGTGATCACTTATAAAGCCCTAAACGGCTTGGGTCCTGGCTACCTGAAGGAGCGCTTATGTCCATATATGCCCGCCCGCCTCCTGAGATCAGCGGGAGAGGCCCTTCTCCGGGAACCCTCCGTGAAAGAAATTAGGAGGGTAGGTACTCGGAGGAGGGCCTTCTCTGCGGTGGCGCGCAATCTATGGAATGCGCTCCCCAGAGAGGTCCTCCTGGCGCCGTCGTTATTTGTTTTTCGGCGCCAGGCAAAGACCTTTTTATTCAAGCGTCATTTTAATTGTTAATGTTATTTTTATTTTAAAGTTTTTTAGCCAGGGCGACTTATTTTATACAGTTACGTGTATATTATATTGTTATTTATGTATTTTAATTTATTTATTTGTAAGCCACCCCGAGGCTTCGGCGAATGGGGCAGCCTAGAAATTTTCTAAATAAATAAATAAATTTTCTGGAGGGCAGGAAGCAAAGGATTAGCTTTCTCATTGCCATATGCTGCAATACTCTTGCCCCGAATCTTTCTTTGGATGGGAATGAAGCTTAGAAGGAAGCATTGTTCTGTTGCTTTGAATTGATCTGAGGCAAAGTTCAACTTAATTGACAAAATAATTTATATGAGAAGATATGGATGAGAAGTTAATTGGCTGGCTTTGCCTCCTGTGGAATTCATAATTTCAACGTTTTGATATACAAATGTAAATCAACATATGGCAACTTTTTGCTGATGTATTTTATCCAATGAGCCTGGATCTTAAATCTTTTAAATGTCAAGTAATACACTTGCTAATCATGGACTTTATTATTTTTAGTTCAAAAAAGAAAGAGACAACTAAAGGAGGTGGGTGCATTATAGGGATAAATAAAACAGCAAATGGGTTAGAGAAAGGTGTTGTTTTCCCTCCACTACTGACTTTCCCTTGCACGACTCTGAAACTAACTATGGGCAGCACATTCAGAATTTTCCTTCTCAAATATTTCAAGTCAAATACTTTGTAAAGAGTTGGAACAAAAAAATTGACGCAGGTTACTTTTCCTTTTAATTCATGTTGTTGTTTACTAATGCTAAATTAGACCACCCTCTGGGGCAGGGGTGGATAGAGACTAGACTTCTAGACATTTGGACTTCTGTTCCCAGTATCCTCAATCATTGATCAGCGTGTGCCAGCAAGGGTTTCTGGGAAGTGGAGGCCAAAATAACTGGAGATCTGCTTTCCCCCCACTCCTGTTTCACTGAAAGGTGAAAATTTTCCAACAGGTATTTGCACAGGATGATTTCCTGATTGGACATTTTCTAGAAATCCCCCAGTCATGAGTCTCAACACCCCTCCATTCATAACACACTTCTGTCCAATCACAGGGCTGCGCAGAGAGTGTCAAGACCTGGCTTGCCAACAACGTCATCACTATTGTGGCCATCTGCCTTGGAATCGCTCTCCTGGAGGTAAGAGGCCACGAGTAGCTGCCGCAGTTGGACAAGGCGGCAGGGAGGGAGGGCCCCTGGGTTGCCTCCAGTGTTAGACAGGAGACCCGCTGACATTAATGGGACAGATCTGGTAGGCCTGCAGCTGCCAAAAGCCGTTGGAGACATTTACCTGTCGATCGCCTGCCCCCAGTATCTCAGGCACTGCAGGTTTCCAGCCAGAGGTGGTTTTAGGGGTGGCAACAAGGGCCTGAGATCCAGCTCCTTCATTTGGCACCCCAAATCTGTGGGAAGCCACCTGCCCAGGGGCACCTGCTGAAATAAAGGTATGGGATCCTGATGATCTTGGTTGCTGGATGGGAACCCGGATTAACTGGCTTTCAGAGCACAGGTGCTTCACCTGCTGCTGCCCGCATCCCTGAATCTTTCTGTCTGACCTTTTTTCTGAAATCAAATACCCTCTCTATACTTTTTGAATAAATAGGAGCGTCTTTAGAAGATAAAGGTCTTTAAAAAGACACAGGCAAGGTTTTAAAATGTAAACAAATGAGCATAGGCAAATATATTCCGGTTTTGGTCCTGCGGGCCTGAGCTAGGATCTTTTGGGCACCTACCTGGCATCGTCCCTGTTTCCAGGGCTGGCCTGATGTTTTGCTGCCAGAAACAGAGCAGGAAGAGAATGTGCTATGAGATGGTGCTACTGAGCAGAACCGTAGGTGGTGTCTGTTGCACAGCTCTGGTCTTGGCCTCAAAGCCCTGTTGGAGGATCGCTGAAACATCTCCCTCGGGTGAATGTGTGCAAGGGAGGGAGTGCAGTTTCTCCCATCCTAAACCTTTTTTATAGTTCCTGAAGTTGCTGTGCATGGTACTGATCTGCGCACTAGAGGGCAGGGACTTCCACAGTGGTGGCTCCCAGGAGATCCTCTACTTCCCCAGCAGGTGGCGCATGGGTGCATTTGTGTACATGCATGGGTGTTTCTTGCTTTCTGGCATGAGAAACTGCTAGAAAATGCTCTGGTTTCCCTGCTAGAGGAACTACATTGATTTCTGTCCTGGTTTGTGTGTGGCTACGTTACTTCCAAGACGCCGCCACCACCATTTGTGTGGGCGGTATTCGGCTCGTGCATGCATCTGTCAGGACGACACCTGTTTTTGTTGTGTGTGTGTGTGCATGGACCCGGGACATTGCTGTCATCGCAAAGGATCCTGATTGCAAAGTAGGTCCATAGCCCTGCCTCCAGTCCCCCCATGACTACACAGCTCTCACGAATGACCGGGGTCATGGATGAAGAGTCCATATTTTGGGGCTTGAGAGATTTTTCCTCGTTGGCTGTCTGGGTTGAGCGTGTGTGTGTGGCCTCTTGCACCGAAGGCAACTTCTTTCTGCAGTGGGCATAGGCTTGGTTTCCTGTCTAGTCATACTTAGAGTAGACCCTCCTGTTCAAATAAGTAGGACACAATCATGACTAACTTTAGCCCCATTGATTTCACTTGATTTAATTAAATGCAAACAAAGGATGGATTTTAATATATTCAGGGCACGAGTCTTGACTGAGCAAGCCGCATATTGCTTGCACCACACCAGTCAACATATGGAGGAAAGAGGGGTGAGCCTACGGAGTGACTTCCCCAGTTACTTGCTTGGGGTCTGGAATCTGTGCAGTGTTGCTTCAAGATGTGGCTCCAGGCTCCAAAAAGGAGAGGCCTAAAAGCTCCTCCTCCTCCGCTCAGCACGATGCCCCAGGTCTCCCTTCCTTTCCGAGTTCTGCCTTCACTGCTGCCTCCAGTGCAGCTCAGCTGATGGGACCATCTTTTCTCAGTTCTTAGAGCATTTTTGTTGGGAGATGTGAAATCTGTACATGCCCAGTGTTGGGAATGAAAGAGCCGGTTCTTCTTGGTGTGCTGTTTGGGGCCAGGGTGGCACCGGCTCTTTTGATGAGGATGGTGAGGCTTGGGGAATGAGGTCTGCGGGCACAGAGATGGCCGAGGAGAAAGCACTTATCTCGAGACTCTTGTCTCCGGGCAGACTCTGGGAACTGACAGAGCTTGGAGGTGCTGGGAGGGGGCATGGAAGAGGAGCCAGAACTGCTGGCCCGATCCCTGACCCCATGACGCAGCATCAGGAGAGAAGGGCTGGCCAGCTGGAAGGCCTGTGTGGACCTGGGAGTCTTGCCCATCTCCAGGGGGGCACAGCGGGAGGGGTGGGGCCAGGTTAAAGAAAAGGAGCCTTCTCGGAAACAGCCTTAGCTTGGGTTCAGCAAACGGCTCCTGTCTGCTCAGAGACTCTTCCTTGTTGGCTGACAGCTTGCTGGATGGACACTGGAGATGCAGTGTTTTTGCCAAAGAACTCTCTGTTGTTTTAGAGAGGAGGGAACCCAGTGCCTGACCTTTGGTAAAGATACAGAACACCCAGTTCACATGTATTGCGCTGGTCCCTTAGTCACTGTGTGGTCCTCACTGCACATATTCCTGCATATGTGTAGATGCTGTTAATGTGGTGTTTTATTTTGATTGGCTACCCAAAGGGACATAAGTCAGAGGGTGCCTTTCGCATGTTCCCTCTTAGCCATGTTCTGCAGGTCCCCCATCCCTAGGAACTCACCCAAGCCCATTCCATATCCCCTTAAATGTATTTTCAATTTTTTTCACTACCTGCTGCAAAGGGACATCCACCTGGAGTACTGGCAAGGTAATTTACTCCAGGCCAAACCAAATGGCTGTTTTACTGTTTGGCAGGGGATTTAGCTTACTTTATTTATATTCCACGTTTCTGCTAAATAAAATGCTGCTCAAGGTATCTAATGATAAAGAACAGATTAAAAACAAAATAAAAACAAATAGTTTAAAATCACAATTATTAACACAATAGCTGCTCCTATCTGTATCAGCATCTTTCCCCCCACTGTCCTGGTTTCCTTCTTGCAGGTAAATGGCATGTACCTATCCTGTGTGATGTTTGGCAGAAAGAGTTTTGGTGCCCCCAAGGGGCGAGGAGAAACACGATACAGGACGACTGAGCGCAGATGTTGCACTAATCGGAGCAGTCGACAGGGGGCGCTAGAGCGCCAGCAAGTGCACAAGACAGCGAGGGAGACCGCACACAGCAGAGGGCAATAAAGAACCCAAAAGACTAAAGCCTGACAGGGAGTTTACAGTGAGGAGTGATTATTTCAGGGATGGGAGGCAGCCACAGAGATCCAGAGCAGTAACTAAAAAGGGAAACTGAGCCAAATTAATTCTGGAATTCACTGGGGAGGGTTTGGGGGGCTCAATCCATCCAGAAACACTCCTTTGGATCACTCTCTTTCTGATCCAGTAACAATCCCCATTGCATGGAGAGGAAAAACCAAGGAAAATAACTTTAGGACCATTCAAGCATAGCAAGGAGATGAGATGGCCTCTTTCTAAAAGTACGCACATGAATGCGTGCATGTGACACACACATTTTTATCTCTCCCCCCCCCTTTCTTTTTTTTCTTCCTTACTAACTTCAACCCCCAGGGTCCAGTCTATGCAGTTCCAATCTGGGGAGGGCTTTGATTTTGTTTTCTGCCGCCTTGCTTAATGAACCCTAGGCCTACCTCTTTCACAGGATGGCGACAGCCAGTCTTAACGAAGATTTTTCCTTTTTTCACAGCTCTGCCTCATGACACTATCGATGTTTCTGTGTAGGACCATGGGGCCCAACTATGACAAACTCGCCCGCTATTCTTAGGAGGTGAAGCCCTGTTTCTCCGAGTCCCTCCTTTCGGGAGACAGCATCGGAAATAATTCCTTGCAACTCAACCATTTCACTTCAGGAGTTTAAAAATATGTGACTGCAGGGCTGCAAGTTTCCTTGGCAAGTTTTTGATCTAAACTTACCTTGTTCAGCCCTCATCATGGTTAATGAAACTAAACCTGCAGGCACCAGCAAGACGTGAAAATCATTGTACTGTGGAGGCATTTTGCTTCACATGGCTGAACAGATTATTTAGCCCTTAGATCACCTTGGAAAGCCACAGCTTTGGACATGACAACATTTGGCAAGTACAGTCTCAAAATAAGACCCCTCTCCTACGTTATTACCTTTCTTTTTGAATGTCTGGGTCCTAACATTAAAGGCAAGAGATTGTTTCATTAAGGAAAAAGCTGTTTGGCAGGTAGCAACATATTACTAGGATCTGGTTCATTACTACATAGAGCCTGGATACCAATGTGTTTTTTCCAAGCATTTAAAAAAATCAGTTTATTGAAAACCCCATACATTCCTTAATAGGCTTGTTTTGGCATGAAGGCCTATCTTACCCTTTATTGGTGTTAAAGCAAATTAAAATGCAAATGTGAATTTGGCAATATACCACTTGGTTAAGAACTCTGGCAGTGAAACAAGGCCAGTGACAATCAGGTTGGCAAACCACGTCTCTGGGGGACTCCTGGGATGTACTTTTCCCAGTTTACCCAGATTCAGAATGGCATTCTGGACACTGGGAGAGGTGTATGCAAAGCTTTTCCTAATGTGTCCAGAACTGGATTGATGTCTGTTCCATAGCGCTGCTATAACACACTTCAGTGGTGTTTATCCTGCTCTGTTGCAGTTATCTTAAATCAATCCAACTGAATTGGCACACGATGGAAATGCTGCAGTAAGTTTGCATTTCCCCCGTTTGATGCAAAGTTTGTTCTAGCTCAAGCTGTACATCCAAGCACCTTGCTTCCGGCAATTCAAATGGACTTTCATTCCGAAACACTTTGCACATGCAGGAATTACAGGGCCTGTAGCTGGCTAACTTATTTAACTTGGCTGCTGGGACATGTCACTCCCTGAATTCCCGGTCATCTGGGCTTCTGCCTTGGAAGGCAGGCAAGCCTTGCTTGCACCAGGCATGTGTGGATACAAATCTATGTTCTTCCAGTATTTGCATGGAGCCATGGCACTTTTATCCCAATGTGGGGCTAGATAACTGTGTGAAAGGATCCTGATTGGCTGAGTGTGATGAGGGTCAGTGGTCATGGCTTTGCATTCTCTGCTACATCCACAGGTGTAGTGACAGACAATACCTACTTCTTTCTTCTACAGCATTTGTGTATTTATGTATATATGCATTTGAAAGTGTGTTTATAGACTTGTTTTCCCTTACAAGTTGAGAAGAGGGTGAGAAATAGAATAAGGTACACTTCACCTTTCTCCTCCACTTTTTATTCTTAAAATGCTTGATTTGGGGTTGGCTTGTTTTGTATTTTCCCATTTTGTAATTAAATAAATTAAATCCATAAATGGTCATTTTTTGGCTCTTTGCACTTGGAAGGTGTGAAAAAACAAGAGGACTGCTAGAAAGAATGGCTAAACAAGGCACTGGGCAGCTTTGCATGACAGAACAAACCACATTTTCTTGCATGGGGTAATTTTTGTATCATCTGAAACTTGTCATGGTAATTCGGCACAGTAGGTTTGCTTTTAGAAACTGCTAAGAAGCAACCGTCTATTCTGTGCTTTTACGCCTCACTACGGGTTTGGTGGTCATCCATGGTTTCCATGGTCCTGGTATGCAGCTTGTAGAGTCCCCTGGAAAGAACAGCAGCTGCTGCAAGAGCTGTGTCAGCCATCTAGTGTGGGATTGAATTTCAGGCATGCTGGCTGATGGGATATTTGCCAACAGCAGGACGACGGAGTAAGGAGGATGGAAACCGCATCTGTAGAAACTGCTTGATGGTTTGTCCAAACCATCTAGGCAAAAAACCATGCACCACGGAAACCTCACAGGTCACCATGTGTGAATCTAGGCGCTGATAGGCTTTAGGATAACATCAGTCAAGCAACATCAGCCAACTGCAGTGGGAGGCGGGGCCATCCATGCATTCTTAGCCACACCCCTTACTCCCATTGGCTGTTCCAACCTAGTGGCTGCTTTAGTGTCATAAAGGCGTCTCCTGAGACAACAAATGGGGCTTCTATGGACTTCCATACTGGAACTGAGACTGCAGGCAAAGCTGGCCTGTGGCAGGACTGAGTCGAGGGACTTGTCGTCCTTTTTATATAAGGATTTCTTCTGTATCCTGCTGCGTTGAAGCTGTTCCACAAGTGGTGAGTGCTGAAGTTTCTTTTTACTTGTGGGATCCAAGGACCACAGCATCGAATTTCTGTGACTTGCCAGAGTTTTCTTCCAAGTTTAAAATTACTTTGGTTCAGCTATGGCTGTCAATAAATTATTTTGCCCCCAAATAGTCAACCCCAGTAGCAAGTACCACAAACCTACAGCAGGTATATAACATTTCCTAATATGTTCCAGAGCAGGTCTGTCTCAAAAAGGGGACAAAGTTGGGTTTCTACAAGGGTCCCAAGATGCAAAGAGGGATCCTCTACTTTAACAGAACTTATTTCCACTTAACATAGAAGGCCAGGTATAATCTAAGAGTTTCCAGTTTGCATCACCTACGCTTTTCATGGACAGGTAACCGATGGAAGCTTGGTGCTCTCAGGTACCCCCCCCCCAAACATCTGGGCCTAGCCGTGTTCCAGTGGCAATTCACCGCAGTGGTGACTGGGGCAGTCTCACTGCTTTGTGCTGAAGCCATTCAAAACACCCATATTATGTCAAAATAAACTTTATGCAAGATCACATCATTTCCCCATTTCCCACCAAGGTGGGAGCCTGTTGCAACCTTGCGAATGTTAAAAGAGGACATCATATCATGGAGGTACATGGAATCTGGATTAATCTCATTCATGCTCCACTTCAAACAATGCTAAGCTCACTCTTACACTTGGCTTGATCTTAGGCTGGGTCTACACATGCAGCAAAACAAGGTGGTAAAATCGATGGTTAATTCCTGATTGTTGGCACCTGCAGGGAATGACCACACAGCGCAGGGAATCGCCACAGTTGTATGCATTTTTAAAAGTACCCCTACATATAACCTCCCTGTAAGTAGAAAACTAGTGCAGAAAAGAGAACTAGACTATAGCCTTTCTTGCTGAATTTGCTAATATGCTTGCAGAGAATTTTAAAGTGCAGGAATAATTAAAAAATCACATGGCTGCAGTCCAGAGGGAGAGCTCACTCCCATCACCTGACTAGGCATTTGTGTGCAAACTTAAGTTCCAAATTCCATCTGAAAACTTTTTCTGTCTTACACCCATCTCAGAAATTGCAAACTTCCTTTCATGTCTGCATGAAAACATGTGCCTATTTCCTCCAAGTGTATTCATCACATCTGCAAAACCTCCTCCTTCCATCCGAGTGTTTCTGTGCATTCTTCCAAAATATGCATTTTTCCTGCACATTTTTCATGCTGCTGAACCCTTACTGTGTCCTGCTGATCACATTGCACAGACATGTATAGACTTTCCCTATAGCTGGTGTTCAAGTCTTTGTTCACCTAAGGAGCTGAGAGCTGGATGCATCCTGATCAAAAACTAACTGAAGCAAATGACTCGTATATCCCTGCGTGTTACCACATCATCCTGGTGCATGTGCAGAGGAAGCCAGAAGCGGCTGCAAGAGGATACATTTTTGGCATGGCCAGTGTCTCCATCACTGGTAGCCTTTCTGCTCAAGAACAGCAGAGGAGGAAGTAAACTGCTTGAGCAGTACCATCTCAGATTGCTCTGGGGTGAGCAGTGAGCCATTAGGACTGGATAACCCTGCAGGTAAAAACCAGCTTTGTTTGGAGGGAAGAAGGCTCCTGTGAACAGTCTGAAGTGGTACATCCCAGCTTAGCCCAGAAGCAGTTGGCTGCCTTGTTTGCTGATTGTGAGATTTGGGTATCCACGACGCCAGACTCTGCCTATTGCATCCCCCAGGAGTGTTAGGAAATGCCATGTCTTGTTACAACGGAGTGTTAAATCCCAGAGAAACATCGCTGAGGGGAAAGGTGTGTGTGTGTGTGTGTGGGGGGGGTCTTCGAGCAGGTCTGCACTGGCAGCAGAGGTTAAAAGCTGTTCTCACGGGAGAAATAACCGACGAGGAGAAGAGTCCTTTCCAAAGTATGGTTGCTCAGAAGGGTCCGTGGCTCCAAGACTGTTCACTGCAGAAGAGCAGTTGTTGAGGGCTGGGCTTGGAATCTGGTTTTGGGACCGTAAGAGAAGGGAAAGAAATATGGGGGCATCCATTTGGTACAGTCGGTGGTTGGGTCAGGCCACAGCAGGCATCAAAGCAGTTTGTCCCCCGGTTGAGACAGGCTGTAGGCCAAGTGTGAGGCCAGGGGTAGGTGGGTGGCTCATTCTGGAGGGGGGGGGTGAGGTAAAAGCCGTCCATCAGTCCCGGCCCAGCCGGTAAATGTGGTGCTGTGCTCCCCTCTCATTGGCAGACACTTCAAACACAAAGGCCACGCACAGTAGTAACTCCTGAGTCTCTTGATCCCGCAACACCTGTTGTGGCAGGGAGAGATTGTATGTCAACATTTCACAATCGGGGCAAAGGGACAGGCGGATCCCTAACCTTGTAAGCCGCCCCGAGGCTTTTTGCGAATGGGGCGGCATAGAAATGCTTTACATAAAATAAAAATAAAAATAAAACCTTCTAGGCTTACCAGCACCGCTCAGGAAACTTGCTGTAATTTCACTAGAAATGTCCAAGCTTCCTTCCCACTAACCCCTGATTTCTTGTTTAATTCAACCACAAAAACCTCTACTTCATTAGAGTGCTTCCGCCTTCACTTCCTTCCCACATCTGGTTTGTGCATTGCAGCAAACAAGAACTCCAGCAAGAAACTATACTGTCCACTTCAATTACATGCAGGTTCACACCAAGTAAAGACAACACATTAAGCTTACACTAAGAGAATTGCTGCACAGGACATACTTTCAACCGCCTTCCCCAACCAGGTGTGCATCAGATGTGACGGGCTGCAAGCCCCATTATTGGGATTGATGCGAGCTGCAGTCAGGGACGAGGTTGGGGAAGGCTGCGCCGCACCTTCAGCACCATTATTACTATCTATTGTTACATGATGTTTACACCCAGCCTTTTTTCCCTCACACAAGCAACCCAAGATGGCTAACATAGTTCTCCTCTGCACCATTTAATTGTCACAACAACCCTGTGAGGGAGGTGAGGCTGGAGGAGGCCATCTTTGCAGGACTTTCTGTCTGAATAGGCGTCAGATTGCACACAAGGTGCTACAGGCATCGTTCTGCCCCCAGCCTCCTTTGGGATGTTGGAAAGGCTGTCAGGACACCCCCCTCCACTCAGTGGCCACTGGAGATGGAAGGGAAGGGCGCCTAGGACTGGCTTGAGCATGCTGAGAGCAGCGGCAGCCAACTGCAGCCTCCCCCTTGAGCAGGCAGGAGAGCCAAGACAGCAGCCGCCGCCAAGTTGACGGCCAAAGCCGTCCCACGAGTCCCTCCCGGTGGCGGCGGCAGCAGCAGCCGGGAGAAGACACACAGTTCCTTAGCCAGCACGCCAAAGTGGCCAGAGATGGAAAGTAACAGGATCCCTCGTTAGAAGCATAATGAGTAGGCTGATCCTCACTGGAGAGTTCCCAGCTCCCGAGCATCTGTGATGAAGCCACCTGTTCTCACAGACTAGCCCTTTTCTTGAGCCCCTTCCAGCTCTTGGCAGCCGGCAGCCGGCTGCTGCTCCCTGCATAGCTGGAGGAAATGGAAAGCCGGACTCTCTCCTCGTCTTTGAATCCCAGTTTGACTTCCGAGCTCCAGGCTCGAGAAGGTGCCGTTTGTGTTGTGGGGCTACCTCAGAATCACCTGACCATAAAGGATGCTTGATAGTTTTCTCCAATGCCCCCCTAATAGCATCATTCCAGACCATTGCGAGGAGCTGAGCCGGCAAGTCTCTGTGCTCCGCTGCGCAGTGGCCAAGGAGCAGGCATCTGAGGCAGCCGCGCAAGGATGCCACCCGGCAACCTTGCCAGGCTTGCCAAATGCTGTATTTCGGTTCTGGAGAGACCACCTCTTGCACTCACGACCCCTTCCTCTGAGAATTCCCTCTTGGGAGTGAGATGCCCCCAGGCTTCCTCGCCCCAAATACCTGCAGGATGGTGAAATTTTCAAGCACGCTATCCATCATTGGTTTTTCAGGCAGGGTTTGCAGTTTGCGGATGAAATTGATGAGGTACTCGCAGAGCGGTGAGCGTTGCAGCCGGAAGACAAAGCGCCCGTCTTCCCAGTGGGGAGGCTCAGCCGTCTGGGGGAGTTAGGTGCACGAGGCGAGATGGTTAGTGGCAAATAGGATGAATAAGAGAGAGTAGCCCTCCTTGCCCACTCCAATGCCCACTACCACAGTCTGGGGAAGGAAAACACCTCCCTGTCCAATGCAGGGATTGCCTTTGCCCTCAAGAAGCAAGGCTTGCAATCCTAAGTTGTTTTTTTTTCAAACTTACGTGAAACAAAATTCCACTGAAATCAAAGTGAATCCTTTTTACACTGTTCAGAAAACTTGCTTATGGGTGGGATGAAAACTTCTAACTCCCACCATGTCCAGCCACAGAACTGGATTAATTCTTTCATTCTCTCTCACTTTGCTGCCCCAGACCATTAAGTCTAAATGCCAATATCCTGCATTACTCCAATCCCCAATTTTCTCTTCTAAATCAGGGTTATGGCCTGAACTTATGCAAGAAATACTTTAGGCTCTAGGTGGGGGGCCATTAAATAGTCTCTATGGAGGGTGCAGTGCGAAACACCTCATTCCTTGCAAGTAAAGCGAGCTAGTCCATCAAAGGGAAAGGGTCTAGGCCAGTGATGGCGAACCTTTGAGAGACCAAGTGCCCAAACTGCAACCCAAAACCCACTTATTTATCGCAAAGTGCCAACACTGCAGATTCAAACATGCCAGGAAGACAGCACATTAAAAGAATCTCAGTCTCTTAATGAGAACATCTCTTTGCTAAATCTTAGATATTAAATTTCAATTTTTTCATAAGAAAGCTCAAAGCTACAATCTTGTGTTAATAAAAACGAATGTATTAAAACTCACGGCCAGTGCAAGCAAATATATATATATATTTCCTTGGCAGTGCACTGACCGGCCATGAGAAAGCTCGGACGGGCCGTGGCTAATGAGTCGCCGCTAGTGATGTCACTGCCTGGTGCCGCTACTCCTTTCCGAGCGCACGCACGGCCCCTGTGTGCGCTGTTATCCGATGCTCGGCTGCTGGGGCGACTTGGTTCGCATGCCGACAGAGAGGGCTCTGTGGGGCCGCGGTGGCACTCGTGCCATAGCTTCGCCACCAGTGCTCTAGGCCATTCATGTTCCCACTTTCTTACAAAGGTGTTTTGACACGGGACTATCCACCACTTAGGACCCCCTCCTGTTTCTCTAGCATGCTGCTGTCTGGGAACCAACGACTTAATGCTGCTGCATTAAGTCTACACTTCTAAAATTTAGGTTCCTTGAGTCCCTGGAAATCATGTTTGACTTGGAAAGCCTTCCTCGTCTAAACCCAGAACAGGTGAACCCCCAGGATGTGGCAACTTTGTAAAGAGGAACTGGTATTCTTATCATCCCCCCAGCCCCAAGTCCCTCAAATCCAGAGCTATAAAACTTTGGCTTCAGCAAGTCGGAAGTGGTTCTTCAGGGCCAGGTTCTGTCTGTCAAGAATCTTTGGAGGAGGGAAAAAAAAACAGAGAAACCTGTCAGGGATGAGAGACAAACAGGAGTCTCCTTCCTCTTCTTGGCAGCCAGTTTCCCCTAGAAGTTGAGAGGAGCGGGGAAAGCTGGCTCTTGAATGGAGGAGGGAAAAAGGTACATGAAGCTGCTGCAGCCCTGGAGGTTTACCTACTGACCTCCCAGCCCTCTCTGCTTGGCACTGGGGGAGTTTTCAGCTGTTGCCATAGCAAGGGAACTCAAGATCAGCACAGATAAAACTGGCCCTACAGTCTGAATGGATCTAAGCCAGCGTCCTCCATTCGTACATGTGGTTAAATTTTCACAGGGTGTATCTCACGCCACTAAGGAAGCTGTAGCACCTCTTTTAGCCTGAGGGCCAGAGCAGCGTTGGAGGAACTCTGCTGGGGGCAGGTGTGTTCTCCTGGTGAGCGGGACCAACAGCAAAAATGGGTGGGGGGGAAATACCAAGAGACTGCTCGCATATTTTGGCTTGAAGTTCTGCCAGGAACAAAGCCTTGGGAGAGGCATTTCTACTTTTTAAGATGGAGAAAAACCTGCAGAAAAGCCGGGAAGCCACCAAATGACCAGCGGTTGGTGGGGAAAGGGCATCTGGGGAGTCCCACAGACCTGAGGTTCAGCACCTGCACCAGTAAAAGCTACTGCTTTCAACCCAACATGCCCGCACTCTTCTCTGTCCCTCATCCCCACAACACCCACCCCACCACTGCCAGCCCTCCCCACTGCACCCACCTCCAGCTTTTCCACCACCTGTTTGCCAAACGAGCAGACCTTGGAGGTGCAACTGAGAGTCAGAGCCCTTGGGCCCTCGTATCGGCTGCTCACCCCATAGAAGGTCCCTCCTGTGCCCCCTGGTTCTTCTTCAAGGAGGGGAAAGCTCAAATCAGCCTATGGCAAGAGAGTGGAAATAGGGGAGGAAGAAAAGATTTTGCACATTTTTCATCACTGGGGCACAATATAAAGTTTTCGATGCTTTATAAGAGCAGGAGAAGCCTATCCACCACTATGGGCCGCAAGAGCTAAGTGAACTTCCATGGAAAGAAGCAGGATATCAGTTGATATTTCACCACTGTGAGGAAGTGAAACTGAAAGGGACATTTGTCCATGGCTGAAACGGGACTGGAACCCAGACCCAGGACCATGCAGCAATGCCCTTTTTATTCCCTAACAGCTTTCAAAGTGACTTGTTTGCTGTTGCCACAAATATAGCAAGGAGCATGGGAGTGCGGTGCTTCTGACACCCGATTCACCCGCTCTGAACTTCCAAAGCAATCCACTCGCCACAGTGGGCCAGGGCAGTAAATATGCATGAGTTGTACCAGCAACCCGCCCCTCCAATTAGGAACCGATCCATATTCTACACTCAGCCGCTGAGACCATCCAAGGCAGGCCTGGGGGATGGCAACAAGGCTTCTTTGGTGGTGGCCCCGATTATGGAACTAACTGTCTGCTCAGCAAGGCCAGTGTGGCATCAACAGCCTGCTTTTCAGTGCTAATCTTTCCTCTACACGTCCAGGGATTCGGCAGTACACTCTTAGCGGGTCCTGGGATTTATTGCCAATTGTTTAGGAGTGTTAAATCTCTGTATGTAACTGCTCTTCTGCTGTTATGCTGTATCTTTAGGGTTTAATCTTTAGAGCTTTGGCTATTGGGAAATACAGAACAATAATTAAAGAAATGAATAAAAATGCTGGAGGACTGTGGCCAGGAGGACAGAGAGATTCTCACCCAGAACTTGACCAAGAAGAAGGCATGGGGAGGCCCTTGGTCGTACAGGTCACGCAGTCCACCTCCCCGCTCGGGGAACTTGTCATAGATTTGGCGGACGTCCACCATCTCCAGAGGCGGGTCAGAGGTGGGTGTGGGATCGATATGTACAAAGCGGTGCTGCTGCTGCTGACACTGTGGGGAAGAAAGGGGAACTCAGGAACGCAAGCCAACACACAGAGCCTCTTGGGTACGCCCACCCAGAGCAAACACAGGTTTGCATGGAGTGGCACCAGCTGCCCGAATTTTGTATCTCGTTGAAATTACTGACAAATGCTGGCCACCTTTTTTGGTGGAAGCTCTTTCCCAAACATCACTGCCATCATCCTCCCAATAACCCTGTAAGGTAGGTCAGCATAATCCCTGTCCCGCTAAGAGATCGCAGTGTAGTTAAGAGTTGCCTGGCATATTCAGGGCTCAGGAAAGATGAGACCCGTGTCCCACTCTTAGCCTCTGGCTCTTCAAGCACCCTCTAGCTGGCATCTGAACCTCACACATCTTGTGTCTTTATCCCTCAGTCTTACTTCAGTCTATCACACTGCACTGCAGCCTTCCCCAGTCTGGTGCCCTCCAAGAGCCCAGGCACCAATCCCAGCGTTTCCTGCCAATGTGGCCAAAAGGCACCAAAGGCGGCAGCCGGGGAACGCTGCACGAGGCCATCTTTCCGCCAAAGAGCTCCTGACAACAGAACCGGTCCTCTCATTTTTATACTCTTAATAACTCCGTGGGGCAGGTTGAACCTACGTTCTTTCCTGCACGAGGTGGTGACCTTCCTATTTTCCTAGATTTTTTTTCTTTGGGGGGTTGGGTTTCTGTTTTCAGAGATGCTTTTAAAACAGAAACTCACAATCTTTGCACTGTTGCTAGGCTTGACTTTGTTTCATATTTCTATTTTATACTCTGGATGTCAACTTTTAAACTGTCTTATGGTACAGTTCTGATTGTTGAGAGGCGCCTAGAGAACATTTAATAAATAAATGGGCCGGGCCAGCCCACACCTACCCTCCTGACATGGCCCTGGCTGCCTCCAGGTATGGCTCTTTCCACTCCAGGAGAAAGGGCACCACGACTCCACCAGCTTTTTCACACAGTGATGGGAACGAAGCCACAGGAGGGGAAATGAGCTTCCGGCGCATCCAAAGTCGCCCACCCAGGGCTGAGCACACACACAACCTAGATTCCACCAAGGGGAAAGCTGAATCCAGGAGGTTAGGCAGCCTGGTTCTGTCCAGTTTTTGGCCCGAGTCCCAACCTTTGGTCCTGCTGACAGGAGTGCATGGGAATCCTAGTCCAAAACTTAGGGAGGGCATCAGGTTACCTATCCCAAGCTGACTCCCACCCCAGGCCTGCCTAAAGATAAAAGATCCGCACGGGCAGGAGCATCCGTGCCATCCGAGCGCGTGCTCCGTGTCTCACCGCATCTTGTTCGCCCTGCCGCTCCACAAAGGCAGTGAACTCCACCAGTCGAAGGGTCTCTGTACCGATGTGGCTTCCCTGCCAAGAGGTAGCGGTGGGGAGACGGGACACTCTCCCTGGGGCTGTGTGATAACCTGGTGAGCGAAGGAGAAGCGAAGCGGTGAGGCCAAGCAGACAGGCTCCCTTTCCCCAGAAGGGCGATGAATCGGTCACAGAAATGCCCAAGGCAGCTTACCTGGGACAGAGGAGGGCGCTGCGACAGATGGGATGGGGTACGGGGCCTGAAGAATAGGCTTAACGCTGGAAGAAAAGGGGTGCAAGAGTGGGATTCAGAACACTGGATTCACACACGATTCCAGAGGGGCATTTAACACAGAGAGCATGAGGGGAAAAGGACTGGGCAAACGCCACTGACGGGTTGGGGGTGTCGGGAGAAAGTAAGCAGCAGACACTTACTCTGGGCTGGCTCGGGGCTGGTTTGCATCCCCTCCCCAGAACTGGAAGAACTCTGTGGACTGTAAAAGCCAAAAGGAGAATCGGGATTAGTGATGGTGTATCTGTACTTCACAGCCGAAGCACTGGATCGAAGGTCAAGCAATTTAGGGTGCAAGCTGCTCCAGATGCTTGTAACTCTCCAAATCTACAGGCATCCTATGCAGGACAGAAGGAGCAAAGAGGCGAAGATCCCCTCTGTGCTTCTCCCACCCTGCACCCTGCTCCGCCCACACTTAAGGCCACTGATTGCAGCTGCCTGACATGCCGTGGAGGAGAGGAGGTGGCTGAGGCCCGGACAGGGTATGTCCTGCCATGGCAGCCCCCCTCCCCAGGAACCCCTCCTCAGGCCTGTCTCCCAGGCTGCTCTCATGTCTTTGGAGATGCAGCCAGTGCGGGAGGAAGGCACTCCAAAGCCAAGGCCAGGCCACAAGGTTGGAGTTATTCTCCAGTCTCATAGCTGGGCCTTCGAAAGGTTTTGCAGCTGCCGACAGACATAGGATTGCACTGTTAGTTGGTCAGATTAAATCCATTTCAAAACCTTCTAACTGAGCCAAAAGTGCCCTTTTTTTAACATAAACAAAATTTATAGAAGGGACAGCAGCATTCCCCCTTAACAACCCACAGCACGGGCTGGCTCATTTAAGACATGTGCTTCCTCTCTACCAAGGCAAGTATGCTTCTTGCGTTGAAAATATCATTTTCACTCCTAAGCCAATTTAAATTGAGTAATTCTGATATGATCAATCAACTGAGATGTCTTCAATGGGACAACAAATGACAGTTAAAACTGGTTCAGCAATCTCTTCATGTCCATAAGGAATTGTAGTTCTGTAAGGTAGAAATGAAGGTTAGAGAGCCTTATTTTTTTAAGCCCTTCATCAAACTACAATTTGTAAGATTCCTCAGGGAAATGAAGATAATTTATTCGGCCAAACTCTGGTCTGAGGTTGCAGTATGGAATGCTCTAGGTCAGCCTTCCCCAACTTGAGGCCTCCTGATGTGCTGGACAACAACTCCCATCATGCCCTGCTAGCATGAAGCTGTAGTCAAACCTATCTGGAGGGTACCAGGCTGGAGAAAGCTGCTGTAGAAGTACAGCCCCACAGAGATCCCACCTCGTCGCCCCTTTTCCAGGTATGCTTACGGTGGTGCTGGGTGGGTAGTGGGATTCTGACAGGCCCAGCTTTTCCTGGAGGACCGTGGCGGACACAAGCTGAGCGGAAGACATGGCTGCCATCGTCTGAAGCGCTTTGTCCTTCGCCACCTGGTCCTGCGAAGAGAGAGAGGTTCTTCCGGAGTTCCCCCCTGCCCTGGCCCTCCCGCAGTCACTGCTCTTCCTGCTCCTCCAAGCTTGCTGAACTGGCTGGGTGGAAGCCAGGTGGCCCCCATGTCTTAGATGCCGCAGCGCAAAGGCTAGTATTCGTGGGACATAAAATGGGAGCCACCCCCTCTAGGAGAAACCAAAGAGCTGCTTTGGTCAATCAGTGGCGCCGCTGGACACGCCAACCCACCGAGAAGAGGGGAAAGCTGGCGGGGTCCCAACCAAGAGGGCAGGGGGCCCAACAGTAGCCTGGCTATGCTGCATCTGATGGCACCATTAGCCATCTACAGCAGGCACAATGTTTTTCAGGTAGATTGTAGGGCCATAACCAATCTTCTCATCTGGAAAGCTTAAAAGTGGCAGCGACTTTCAGAGGTTGGCCACCCTGTGAGACTTTGGCTGAGCGGTGGGATACGGATAATCTGTTTCTATATCATATATATTTTTATTTATTCTGCCTTTCTTCCTTCATGGAACTCAAGGCAGCATATGTAGGGTTCTTAGGTGACCTCCATCCAGACATTGACCAGACCTTGGCTTCAAGAATGGCTGGTTGAGGGAGCCTTGCCCCACAAGAACCTACGAAGAACCAGGCTGGCTCAGAGTTGAGGATCTAGTCCAGTTTTCTGCTCAGGCAGTGACCAATCTGCTGACCATGGGATCCCACAAGCAGGTTTTGAGCACAACAACACCCCCTCACCCATGTTCCCCATCAACTGGTATGCACAGCCACGCTCCTTTCATCTGGGGGCAGGATGTGGCCTTCAGGAACAGTGGTCTCTGATAGCCTTCTCCTCTGGTCATTTATCCAACCCCCTTTCAAGCTCATGGCCTTAACTACAGCTTCTGGAAGTTAATTTCATGGTTTAACTAAGTGCTACATGAAGAAGTACTTTCATTTTCCAGTCCCGAATCTCCTGCCAATAAACTTCATGAGATAAGTTTCAGTTTTAATACTGAGAGGCAGAAAAATGCCTGCCTATCCCCTTTCTCCACCCCATGCCTAATTTTACACACCTCTATCATGTCTTCCCTTATTTGCCTCAGATCTGACTTATTAAGTATTTTTCAAACCACTTTTGTAGATCCCGTAAGTCCTTCAAAGGAAGCAGAGTCCAGAACTAGATTAACAGATCTCCCATCCTTCAACGTCAAAATGTTTATTTAAATTCCACCTCTGGAAACTAGCATTCCTGATTTCCCCTCCTCTTCTAGTCTTCCAACCTCCAAATTCTGTGGCAGAGAATCCAGGAGCAATAATTCAAGTTTGCCATCTCCCGCCCACTTGCCCCAGTCATGTACATCAGCCTTCTTTAACCCAGTGTTCTCTGGGTGCTTGGAACTACAATTCCCACCTTTCCTGGCCACTGGTTATGCTACCTGGAGCATATTCTGGTTCTAGTCCAGAATATCTGGAGGGTCCTAAACTGGGGAAAACCAGTTCTCATCTGGTTCAAGAAGTCCCCAGAACCTCACTTCTTTCCTTACCCTTCCCACCCATGGCTCCTTTCCCTCTGGGCAGGAACAGCCAGACACAAAACTTGGCAACAATGAGAAGATCTGCTGATACTTTGCCCAAACAACACTGAGCACAGAGTACTGACAAAGCATCATGGGAATTGGGGGCAAAATATCCACTCTTACTATTCCTTCCTTTCAGCAGGGTGGGAAGTTTAACATAAACAGATCAAATACGGCCGTTAAGGATCTCACCTTAAGCTTGGCCTGAATCTCACGGGTTTTCCTCCGTGCCAATACCTGGATGTGGCTGGAAACCTGTGGAAGAGGTTGGGGAGAAATGAATGAGAAACATTTGCCGAGAAGGGGCATCTCCAGGCTGCAATATTTATTTCCTCCAGCTGAAGGCTCCTTGCCAAGCCCTTCGTGCTTACCTGTTTCCTTGTTCGCGTTTTCCCTGTTCTCAGCTTGATGTAACGGGCAATAAGTTCATTCCGGCCTGACAGAGAAGAGACAGGAAATCAAAAGTACAACTCCCTCAACCCCAAGCACGATGTCCAGAGGAAGCATCCACTTCCCTTGGTTGTGCCACAGCCAGCAGGCCAACTTGCCCCTCCCCAACTCCAAACATGCTCAGAGACATGATTCCTGTGTTAGGTGTGGGAAAGCTCAGGCCTGAGAAGCTGATAAATCCAGCTCTCTGGAGTTCCTCAGATGGATTTACTCCCTACCCCGGAGCCACTAATTTGCTGGAGTGGCAGATGCTACAGTATTATCACTATGTCACAGAAATGCCTTGCTACCCATGGCTGCCTTCCTAGCTGCTTCCTTCCCTTTTGGGAGTTCCAAAGCATCTTTCTCCTTGTATGGCTTAAACCTACTGCCATACCTTTTGTTCCCAGATATAACCCCCAAAGTGATCAAGGACAGGAAAGAAAGTGTTTCACATACCGTACATCTTTCCCTCATCTGAAAGAATGATCTTGCGCCTCCCGCAGGGTGGGTAGATTGCTAGCGCCTCCTGAAAACTCTGCTCTATGTCAGGGCTCCACACCCCTTCTGCATCGTTGTCCAGACCCTTCTCCCCAGCATCCCCCATCTCCCCAGAGGGGCTGGCCCCTGCTCGCCAGTGGCCCGACTCTGCGGTATCAGGAGGAAGGCCTGAAAAAAAGCAGAGACGGCTGCATTGAGATTTGAACAACTGCTTGAAGCTTTTTTGCCTTTGTCTGGATGCTTGGCCGTACGCAGTTAAGCTCATAGTGATGCTGGAAACAACTGACGGCAAAAGAAGAAGGGGACGGTAGAGGATGGGGTGGCTAGAGGGAGTCACTGAAGCAGTCGGTGTGAGCTTAGGTGGACTCTGGGGGATGGTGGAGGACAGGAAGGCCTGGAGGAATGTTGTCCATGGGGTCATGATGGGTCGGACACGACTCTACAACTAACATAACTCTCCATTTCAATCATGTTGTCCATTCCCGAGACAGTCCAAGGACTGGACTGCCTTCTTGTACTGATGCAAATGGTTGGCCCATGTAGCCCAATAATGTTGACATGGACAGATTGCAGCTTTTCAGGGTTTCCTGCAGAAGCCTTGCCTTGCCTGACCTGGAGATTGAATCTTGGAGCTTCTGCAAATGGCAGATCCTGTACGACCCCTGTGATCACCCCCTCCCCACTCTTTGCTCCCAGAAACTGGTTCCATTTAGTAATCATGAGTAATGGTTGCTGATGGAACATAGAAAGTATCTTTCTTTCTCTTTCCTTTGAAATGAGACATCCTTACAGATTTTAGCTGAGATAAGGAAGGTCTCTGTTTGGAAAATTCCAGATCCAGTTCTCCATACATTCAGTTGCAAGTAGTTCCCATACTCAGGTCCCTAGATGTTCCTGGCTGCAACTCCCATTACTCTTCACTGTTGCCTGGGCCAGGTGGGGATTAGAGGAATTGTAATGCAACTTCATCTAGGAACCCCCAAGGTGGGGAACCACTAAGTCAGAGATCTTAGGTAAGTGAGTCTCAGAAGAGTTCTGTCCAAATTTTTGCAGAATAGAAAATACAGCGTTAAGGAAAGATGTCTAACATACGTTGAGCTGTTTCATATGTTCAAGGGAATGAAGAACAGTGCTCTTATAGGGTAGACCACTCACTGTAGTTCAGACACCCATAATTACTGTAGCCTATAGAAACTTTGGTACCCTTTGGATATTTGGGACTTCAGTGCCCATCATTCCCAGCCAGCATGGTCCGTGGTCAGGAATGCTGGGTATTGTTATAGAAAGCAATTCAAGGGAAGGCTGGGAATGATGAGAAGTAAATTAAGTCCCAAATAACTGGAGCACACCAAGTTGAGGCCTGTACTTAGCAAAAACCTGCACAAGGTGTTGATTTGGGCACTCATGGTTCTTTACTCACAGTGAATTTTGGGGATGCTTTATACAATGTTGTCAACCTCCTCCAGAACTCTTCTCATGTTTTACAGCTTTTTCCTATCCCATTTTTTTTTAAGAACAAGGATTAAGCAGCTACCATGTGGTATCATAATAAAAACAGCAATGCAATTCCAGAATTGTTTTATATCCCAGTGTTACCTTGGTGGTTGCGTGATAGAACAGGAAGGCAGGGGAAAAAAATCCCAGGAAAATAGGAGAAGGGGCTGTGGTGAAGCTCAGGGTTAAATGTTTCACATTGAGAGGCCCTTGTTGAAAAAAGTGAGCACATCAGCTGAGTACAGATGACTCAACTGCAGTCCATTACACGCTATCATCCTTTTTCAGGTTGGTAACCATGGTGTTAAGCGTTGACAAGCCTTTACGTAAACCTTGTTTTTACCATTTTTATTTAATTAGGAAGATGTTATACCGGAGCAGTGGTGAGACTAGAGCTGCACAAAACCATGTTTCAAATCCCCACTTGGTGCAGTCACTTGGTGAGCTTCATGAGCAGGTGCGCACAGCCTAACGTCCCTCACAGGGTTGTTGTGACAATGATTGGCCAGGGGTGAAAAGTCAAGTGCCCTGCCTTGAACTCCTTGAAGGAAAGCTGAGTAATAAACGCTTCTGCATGTTGGCATGTAACATAACTGAAATTAATTTTTGTGAATTCAAGAACCTTTTAACATACGCTTTTCTTTTAACAAAACAACCTTGCTCCCCAGGTCACATCTTTCAAAGCTGAGTAGCTTCTTGTAGAAACCTATTTTGCACCTTGACTCCTGACCTATTTTTGGCCCTTCTTGCTCAATGATCAGGTAATAGGTATGGAGCTATTCCAATTTATCCTTAAAACAACCCTGCAAGGCAGGTTCAGCTGAGAAACAGCAAACTGTCTGAAGATTATCTAGGAAGATTAGTATCTGAGCAGGAATTTGAACTCAGGTCTTCTTAGTCCAGGACTGGCATTGTATTTACGCCATCAGGGTCAAGCAGAGTTCCTTAATTCACCTGAGGATTCCTCTCCCTTAATGCTGAGCATATGTTTGTCCTTTGCACTGCTACTTCGCACCAGGGACCAGTTGGTAGGGTGTTTCCTGAGCTGCCAAGCACTGCACATCATCACCATTTTGTTTGCTATGTTTTAGCAAACAGTCTGGGTTTTGCAAGGGTTGGAATAGCAATTAGTTTGATATTGCAAAATTTTCAGGCAAACTTGCCCAGCTGTCAAGAGTTGGATACCTTGTGTTTGCCAAGCCTGCTGGCAAGCAGGCACACAAACCATGCCTTGCTGCATCTGTCTCCATAACCTGGAGGCCTTATTCCCCTGAATGGCTTGGAAACCTACAGACTATAAAACAAGCAGATTAGAGAAGTCTGCTTCTAGGGGCTGAAATGGTTAGCACAGGCTTCTACAATGTGTACTGTATATACTGGTTTATAAGACAAGGTCAATATTTTGGGCTGTTTTTCTGGTGTTTGTTATGTGTCAGGCATATAAGACAACCTCCAAATTTTGCTTTGCTATTTTCAGTTTCATGGGTTGTCTTATATGCTGATATATATATATATATATATATATATATATATATATATATAGTAATAACATGTGGAACAAGGGCCCAGGGAGTATGTGTCAGAAAAATACCTCTATATATTGACATATAAGGCAAATCACATACAAGATGAAGTTAATGTTTGGGGCTGTTTATATCTGTTGGGTGCATAAAATGACCCCAAATTTTCACTTTGCTAGTTTGAGTTTCAAAGTCCATCTTATACACTGGTACATATATTAAAATTAACATATTTTAAAAAACAAAATGAGCCTGAAGCATACACATCCTTAGGTCTCCTTAGCATGCATGCTAAAATTTCAAGTGTTCAAGTTTCATAGTCTTGGACATTTACTTTTATTGTTGCGGATTATTATTTATGAAGTTACATAGCTTAAAACACACTCAAGAATAAAACAGAATTAAGAAATGCATAATTTAAACCAGTTCAAACAGTTACCCATTTAAATCCAGCCATCTGTTAATACATCTTGCAAACCCAAAATCCAGCCATTCTGCCACACTATTACCCTGGCACTTGAGGCGTGCACGTGACAGCAGCAAATCATGGGTTAATTATTGCCATATGTTGCTGTTGCTTTGCTTAATTAACCTCCAATCTGCACAATCATGTAGCCCTGCAATATGCAAATTTGGACATAACTGGGATAGTTCTTAACTTATGCACAAACTGCAGGTTAACCCTTGTTCATATAGCTCATGAATAACCCATTGCATCTAGGTTTGCTTTTCAGAAATCAGCCTCTGATCAGAAAGATGGTTCTGCAAAGCAGGAGCTGCATGCACCAGATGACCAGCAAATTGTGGATCAAGTAAACTGAGAATTAATCAATTCATGATTTTCGCACCCCATGTGAATTTGGTGTCTGTCTGTTCACCCATGGTCAGCAAAAGCAACAGCTAGACAACAGCAGTGCTCTTGGCTTACTGGTTCACCCTCCCACAATTATTTAACCCTGAAACCCCACCTGCCTCTTTGCCTCAGCAGCAAATGTCATTTTGGTTGAATTCTCCCCTGAGGCACTGAAGTTAGGTCAATCTAATTTGCCTGCTCACATGCAAAAACAGCAAGAGAACCTTGACTGATTGTATTTGCTATTCAAAGGGGGTGAGAAAGTTAAATAGTCATTTTCCTGGGTCTGAGAGAAAGACACTGTACATAATGGCTAGCCTCTGGAAGTACTCCTAGAAATTTTCCCCCACCCCCACTGCCATAGTTTTGCACAGTACCAAACAATGAAAAAATATCCAGAATCTCCTCCCTTCTAGCATAACCCCCTTTAGTTGTTCATTCTTGGAGGCTCCAGAGCCATCCTGGAGGATGGCATCGTGATATCCAAAGTTATGCTAGAGGAAAGGCTTGATGGAAACAGGGTTAACACAGGGAGGAAAACACTACTTACAAAGCAACACAAGCCAAAGATACAAACCTAAAAATGTGCCAAAGAAAATGGGATATTTATAAAAGCTGTCCAACTGCCATGAATTTCGGTGCTAATATTTTATACCACCCAGTTATGGGTTAAAACATTGATTAGGGCAAGACTTGCCCATATTTTGGGGAGCAGATGCATATAGAAATTGTGAGGGAGGCCATGGTGGTCCATCAATTATCTGGTCTTGGCAGAAATTCAGAACATTTGGCAGGGTGCAGAGTCAAAACAGTAATCTCATAAAGAAGGAAACAAAGGGTTTTTTTCGCTCTAAGTGGAAAGTCCAGCACAAAGTGTATTGAGTCTCCAGAGGAACCAGATTGCTGAAAGAAAGAAAGAGCGAGCCAGCGAGGGCCTCTCTCGCCCTCTCTCCTCTTTGCTGCTCCCTGTCAAGTCGAAACCCGGTGCTCTGCCTGGTTGCTCCAGTTCAAATGACCTCTGGGGGCACAGTTCGGCAGCGAGACAAAGAAACCTTCCAGCATGGATTACATCTTGCGTTAAAGGCAGGAAGGGGGCTGGCTCTTTAATCTGTGATGAGATCCCCCCCCCCCCACGAATTGTGGGCCCTTGTTTCCTTTGCTTCCCTTGCCACAAGGCTCCCAACAGCTGCAGCCTTCCCAGACGGATAAAAACTTTTTACGAAGAAAGACACTTCCTTGGCGTAAGATTAATCACAACCACCAGCTTCCTCCAAGCTGGGCCAAGGACATGCAATTGTGGA